ACATCTGTAATACTTTCAACAATAAAGATACATTTTTTTTCAGAAAACACTTTTTTTAGAAGTTACCTCAGTTATGTCAGTTTTTTAGTTATCTCAGGTTTTTTTCCCTTTCAATCTCTTAACGTAAACCTAGTCTGAAATTAAAATTTTTGTACTGAACTCAAGGCACACACAGAATGTTCACAAAAGGCCCATCACTGTTACTCCTGTCTGCAGAAATCTAAAGGCCACCCCAGGCCACCAACTTAATTATATCCAGGATGCGCAGCAGAGGTGAAAAGCCTCCTAGAACTGTTTTTCAATCATCATCTCTCCAACTGAGCTGGACTAGTGACACTAAACCCAGCAATTAAAAGCCTCAAGTTTAGAAATACATTCAGTTTCCCAAGTCCCAAAATGGCAAAGGTTAACTGAATTATGTGGAGATAATTCGCCAAGGTCCCGAGGGAGGGTCCTGCTAACTTCAGATTGCTGGCTGTTTCCGTCTTATTCTTCCCCTTCCCAAGTGATATGCTTCTTGCAATGGTGCTGCTGATACACACATCAGGAAAATAAGAGAAGTTACAAATGGGAAAAATAAAAACCTTTCAATACATTTTCTAGGGGAAAGCATGTGATTTGCACCTTTAGTGTGTCTAACGCTGAAGGCTTTTCCTCTAGCTATTTTCAAGAATAATCATGAGTAAATTTACACTCACCTCATACTAAAAATATTTGAGATCTTTACTGTGTTGCTTTGCTGCTTAAATTGGAGTGTGTCGCCGGGCATCTTACTGTGTGAGGCCATAATGGACCCACAACTCTCCTCCAGGCTGAATTAGAACCACCCATTACACCTCGAGTTGTGTGGTAACACCTCCACAGTGTTTCCAATTAACTTTGTAAGTTTTTAATCAGTGACAAATGCATCTTTGTAAATTCAATTTACCTTTTATTGCAGCACTATAAACTGTCTTGCAGCATTCCGGTACTTTGTGAACGTTTTACTTGCTACTGACATAAGACAGCTGTTGGACCTACAACAAAGGCTAAGCTTTATGAGTTACCTGAATTAGGATGTAGGTGAAGTAATTAAACCCCAAAGAGAAAGAGGGGGAAAACAGATAGCCCTCCATGATCCACACACAACACTACGCAGGCAGGAACTCCTGAAGCAACTCCGAAGCTGAAACGTGCAAGATTAAAACCCCAGAAACGTCCTTCTTTTATTGTGAGTTTAAACTCACAATATGTTGAAAGAGGTAGATGAGTGAAAAGGTCAGGCACATTTTATTAATAAATCCATACTGCTATTTGTTTTTCTTTTTAATCAGATTCAAATGCATCCTGTTAAAGAGCCATGGGTGATTAGATCATAAATCTGAATGACCTTGAAGATGATGAAGGAAATGCTTCTCTGTAAAGCGATCATCATGCTGCCAGTTTCATCATTTACACATTTTTACAGGTGCAAGGAAAATGTTTAATTTCAAATCACTTTCAAGAATCACTCAGAATAAAATATTACTTTATAAGATCTCCAGATAATAAAGACAATGAGTTAATTGAACTATATGAAAATATGTGGGGCTTTTCGTTTCTATCTTTACTGCTAAAATAAGAAAATGGCAAAAAATTAGGGGAAGGATTAGTATAAGTGTTTGACCTCAACTAGACATACCCTAGGATTCTAGCTTAGGGTTCATTTTGTTTGAATATGACTAATGACACATTAATTCATTGCCCCTTTCTGCAAATTATTAACTAATTGTAAGTAATATGGTCATGAGACTTAACTTTTGTTACATATTTCATCAAAAGTCTGCATTTTTACAAAGGGAGCAAATTTATGGGTGACATTTATGGTTTTTTCCTTAAATACTGAAGAATTCTTTTGTCTTATTTTTAGATTTATCACTCAACTATGAGAAATTTGACTTTCAATATGTAGATCTGTGCTTTGTAAGTATTGTAATTTGTCAGGAGTTTTAGGACTCTGTCTTAATTCTAATTCATTAATTCATTCACTTATTCATCATGTGCTTAGAATAAATAGTGACTAAAGATGTGGTCCCTTGCCTGAAGATCAAGGATTATAAATGCAGGAAGATTTTCAAGCCTATATAAATTTGTGTTCTTTTTTATTTATTTTTTATTTTTTTAAATATGTCTTTATTAATTTGAGAGAGAGAGAGAGAGAAACATCAATGATGAGACAGTCATGGATCGGCTGCCTCCTGCACGCCCCACACTGGGAATCGATCCCGAACCCGGGTATGTGCCCTGACCAGGAATCAAACAGCAGTCTCCTGGATCATAGGTCCATGCTCAACTGCTGAACCATGCTGGCCAGGCTGTGTTCTTTTTTTTTAGATGTTAATTTAGACTTTACTTGTTTTAAAAATCAGCCATGATCTAAACCTTTTTATGAAATCTGTACATTGTTACCATATCTAAACCATAGGCCTGGCTTCCTTCGACCTTTTCTGAAGGGCATATTCTTTGAATACTGTTTTGAGTCTTCTGTATGTACCAAAGATGCTTTTGATAGCTTATGAATTTTTTTATAATACATTTACAAACTAGTCAAAATGCAGCTTTGATTTTATTACCTTAGTTTTCTCCATTCTTTATTGGGTGTATTTAAAAAATAAGAAAATGTTTGACAGGTTACTATATAGCTATTTTGAATGTGGGGATTAGATATGAAAAGCACCTTTTTTTTTAATTGCTATAAACTGATCATTAGTTTCTCACCATTTCTTCTGGGTGCTCAGAAAAATATGGCCAGAGGTAGAAGAGGAGTTTTAGCAGACAGCATTGAGTTTACGGCCTTTATCCCACAGTGTGATCTTCACCCAACCAAAGGAACATTCCACTGACAGTCCCATAGCTGACGTGAAGGACAAAAGGACTCAGTGCACGGACACAGCACAGCCATTAGGTAAGGAGGCCTTCAAAGGGTCACTAAGCCTTCCCTACCCTCAGTGCTTGCCTTAACCCTGACAAAACCAACCCAGGGACATTCCCAAAGGGGTGGAGAGAGAGGTGGCCCCCCAGAACTCAGGATTTCATGATCATTTCCCAAGATGTCATCTGGCACTCCAACATGACACCAGAATATGCTTTAAAGATGGGGCAAATCAGGGGCTGGAATCAAAAGCTTTGAAGAAGAGCCCCAGTATAGTGACCACACTGTAAGAAGCTGCTGCTTCTTGAGAGCTTGAAATATGCGGGCATGGAGTTCATCACAACCGCCCCACAGGTGGATAAGAGTGCAGAGGCTCAGGGATTTGCTTGGAGCTAACCACACGGTGGAGCTGGAATTCATACCCGCGTTGGCCATGAATTCCGCGTGGGCAAGCCCACTCTATAACTACTATACCACCTTGCCAGCAGATGCCAAAATGTCAGACTGTCTCTGAAACCTAAATCCTTATTCTCTATAATAAAATTTTAAATCGTGGTTTATCTCTTAAGTAACAAAGCTGACATCCCAGAAACCCATCATTACATTGGAATTAAAGGTCTCAAAAATAGCAGAGTCTGCCCTATGTTATGGCAAAACATTCCTCTACTGTAGAAAAGGAGACTCATTTTCTCCCCACTGGATAGTTTCCATTTAAACCATCTTACAGCCAAAGCCACTTTATAGTTTATGCTCAGCTTTTTTAATTAAAGTCTTCTAATAAAGTCTCTTGCATAAGAAGGATTTTACAGTATCGTATATGATACACAAATTGTTTTCATTAAGACAAATCTAAAAAGGTTTTATATATTCTGTATTATTTAGTGATGTAAAACTCTAGCTTTAGAAGTAATTAATTAGTGATCATTGGGAATTAGCATTTTGGATCCTGGTCAGGAAACATTTTAAAAATCAATGAATATTGGAGGCTTCGCTTTCTCCACACCCAAAAGAAAGAGAAAAGATTAAAAACAAATTCCTCGGTATCGTCAGGCATGCTCAGCACACTCACATCTGGTATCGGCTGCAACAGCTCAATCAATAGAAAAGAGTAATGTAATAATTGCTGCAACGTTTTCTGTAATTCCTCACTGTGGTAGCAACAGCATTTCAATAATATTCAGAGAGACTATTTATGGTGCTTAAGGTAAGAGATTTTTGCCTTGTGTAGAATAACATAAAATTCAATGCTGTTATTTAACCCTTAATGTGAAGAATTCTTAGTGAAAAAAGCACTTACCTTACTCTTAAGTTATCAGATAATCTCTAGGCCGGAGAATAGTCACAGGATGTTGAGCCACAGGGTATTTGAATAGGCAAAATAGTACTTGATGACCATTAATTAAGGACCAGTTGAATTAAATATAGTATATCCACACAATAGATGATTATGCAGTTGTTAAAACACAGGAAGCTCACTATGTACTGATATGAAAAATTCTCCAAGATATTTTATTGAGTGGACAAAGCAAAATACAGGATAGTATATAGAGAAGTAGGTTATCTTTTACATGAAATGGTAGGAAAATTAAGAATATACATTTGTATTTACTGCTATATGCATAAGGAAACTCAGAAAGCTGTATCTAAAACTAATAACATTTTTATCTGGGCATATGTGTGGTGGGGTAGATGGAAGACATGAATGAGTGCAAGAGTTTATATAAAATTTTTGAACATGTGACTGTATTAAGTGATGTGCTATTCTTAACAGAGAACTAATTAAGTAAATATGGTATATTCATGGAGTGGAATACTGTATGGTCATAAACAGAATAAGAAAGCTCTTTATGTACCAATACAGAAAGATCTCTCAGATGTCTTATTGTATTTAAAAGAAAATCTGTACCCAGAATGATGTCCCTAATATGCTACCATGTTTGTAGGAGGAGGAATATTTGCTTGCATATGATTAATTAGCTCTGAAAGTACATGTGGGAAATGAATAACAATGATTGGTTGTGTTAAGAGAAACAACTGTGTGATGTGGCTTGAGGGTACAAGGGAGACTTTTCACTGAATAGTCTTTTATGCTTTTTTCTTAACCACTTGAATGTATTATCTTTTCTAAAAATAAAATTCAAACATTTAATTAAATTTATTGGGGTGACATTGGTTCATAGGATCCTATAGGTTTCAGGTGTATATTTCTACGGTACATGATCTGTATATTGCATTGTATGTCCCCCACCCAAAGTCAAGCAATCTTCTATCACCAAATATGTGGCCCCTTTATCCCCTCCCACCCTCTTCAAAAACAGTATTTAATTGTAATTACTGCTTTTTTTCCTAAAGAAAAAAAAAATCAATAAATTGATCTTGAAATTAGAGAAAGGAAGAAAACCAAGCTCTAATTTATCAAACTATCTAATTTATCAAACTACTAGTCCAACTACTATCAAGCTACTAATATTTCTCCTTACTTTTTTCTAATAGTTTGATTCAAACTTGTCTTTAATAAAATTAACTGGATTCATTATTTCCAGACATAGAAATAAGCGTCGTGTTTGCCTCTCCTCCACCCCACCTCCCACTCAAGGAAGGGAAGACTAAATAGAATGAGAATGTGTAATTTAAATTTTACCTGGTTCATTATCACTTTCAAATAATTTATGCATTTTAAACAGCTGTTTTCTTCTCCTTATGTGTCAATCATGCCAATTAACAAGACCTCAAAGAAACTAGCCTATAATAAATCAATTTTAAGCTAAGTATTTCACAGGGTTATCTTTCCCTGTGTAGATTTTAACAGCTGCAAAGCACCCACACCCCCAGTAGAAAATAGTGGGAAGATCATGAGCTTATAGTTAAACACATCTGAAGTTTAATCGTGCCTTGCCATTCATAAGCTACATGTCCTTGGACAAACCATTTAACCCCTTTGAGCCTCAGTTTTCCTTATCTGTAAAATAGGAATGAGAATGCCTGTTCACAAGGCTGTCATTTAAATAGGGTTGTTAGACTGTTTAGCAGAATGCCTGATACTACGGTAACCATTAGCCCTGGTCTGGCTGGAACTCTCTTTCAGCACTGCAAGTCCCACATCCTGGGAAGCTCCTCAGTCCTGGGCAGAGCAGGGCAGCCAGTCACCCTATTTGGTACAAAAGAAACATTCTATGTGAATGAAAATGTTGAGTGCACAGACCAGGAAGGGCATTAGTGTCCATAGTAGATTGTTTTCATGTTTCTTGAGGGGCTTCACTGAGAAAGACACAGAAAAGTCAGTTCTAAACCTTTTAGGCAATGGAAGCACAAGATAGGCAAGAGAGGGTGAGTAGTGGCTCGACTCAGGAGCCAGATGGCCTGACTTTTGGTTCTGGTTCCGGTAAAGACCAACTGCGTGGCGGGCTTCAGTGCCATTGGATCTTGGGTTTATCATCTATAACTGAGAAATTCAGACCAGCCCTTTCTTAGCTCTAAAATTCTATTTTAGGAATAGTCAGAAATCCCCAACTGATATGGAAAATCCCTGAACACAACCAGAAGGGGCTGAAAAACTCTGTCAGGCCTCCCCATGCCGTGAACAGGTATCAAGCATCCTCCCCCGGGCGGGGGGCTTCCTGCCGAGTGGCTACCAGGCCAACAAGGTGCAGCCCAGGCCCCTGAGCAGAGGATCACCAGGGAGTTCCTTCTGCTCGCAGGGACCTGAGACCCTCTGGCAAGAAGCGGCTGCCAGCCGAGCCCGAAGGGCGGGTAAAGTGCTGACAGGCCCTGAGGGCAGAGGCAGGCGTCGGAACAGAGGGCAGGGGGCCAGCTGTCTAGAACCCTCCTGCAGACGCCGCAGAGAGGCCGCGGGCTTCAGTGGGAGCGGGTGATAAAGACCCCGGAGGGCTCTTACTAAGGTCAGAGCTGTGGCACCAAAGCTGACGAGCGAGGGACAAACGGAGGCCGTGGGTGAGGACGGGAGGACCGACATGAGAACCTGGAGCGGAGGCAGAGCAGGGCCAAGGGCAGGTTTCTCTAGAAAACGGGGGAGATTTGAGCATGTCTATAAATATATGACATGAGCAGCATGGAGACAGAGCAGATGTAGAAAAGTTTACTTTGGGAAGGAGCAAGAACATTTTTCTTTTTAGATTTTTAGGTGCAGGAAGAAGAGAGAACTTCAGAGAAGATGAAAGTAGTTGATGGAGAGGTGGGATTGGAGGAAGGTCGGCAAACGCACAAGCTTCCCGGTGCGAGAGGAATAAGCACCAGGGGCGTACAGGGCGAACACTGCTGTGTGATATACAAGAGGGTGGTCAAGCAAGTAGATCTAAGGTTTCTCACCATAAAAAAACAAAACAAAACATTTTTTCCCTTTTATTTTGTATATCTATGAGATGATGGATGTTGACTAAACTTCCTGTGGTAATCATTTCACAATATATGCAGGTGAAATCACTATGCTGTACACCTTAAACCTATACAGTGCTGTATGTCAATTACATCCCAATATACTGGAAAAATAATATATTTAATTATAATACTACCAGAAAAAAGAAAATAGTTGGTGGAATTTGGGTTCCACAGTCTCAATCAACAGAGTAAAATAACAGTCAATGCTACTATGCCATCCTTTTTAGTTAAAATATCACCTCAACTTGGTGAATTATTTTCAAGTTTATATATCAAAGACAGTAGCACTCAATTAATGGGATAATTAACTTAATGTTTTGGGCAACTGAGATTTATTGAAGATTTCAAACAAAACTTGTGCCTTTGTTCCAATTTCTGTCTTTGAATTTTGAAAAATCTACTTAGTCTACTCTTCTTCCTTGGCAATTAAAGTATAAAAACAGACTTCTCAAAAAATAGGGTCTATTGGATTTTTTAGTAAAATTACTTAATTAAAAATTGTTAGTTATAGAAAATATGGACAATAAAGAAAAATATGAGGAGGAAAAATTCTCATATAACCACAATCTCAAACATTACTAATATTTTGGGGCCAGTATATGCTTATACTTTTTTCTTCTAGGCATTTTTTTGTTATGTCATTATGCAAATAATATGTATCACAGTTTTTGTTCACTTAACAATAGAAAACAGGAATTTTCTCATATTAATACAAACTCTTAATATGAGTTTGCTTCCACTCATCATTTTAATATTTGCATCTCATGATGGGACTGTGCTGTAAATTATTTACCTGCTTTTCTATTTGGACATTTGGGTTTTTAATTTTTCACTGTAATATATAAAATGTGGCACTGTGCAACTTTGTGTATAAAGGGGATTTCTAATTTATTTAGGATAATTTTCTTACCTTTGATTTGCCAGAAGTGAAGTTCCTTTTTTAACAGCTTTTTATTGAGCGTAATTCACATACTGTACAATTCACCCACTTAACGTGTACAATTCAGTTGTTTTTCATATATTCACAGATATGTGCAAGTATCACCACAGCCCATTTTAGAAGATTTTTATTACTCCCCAAACCCTATATGCTTCACTTATTATCTCCTTAACCCCACCCTGCAGCCACCTCCCACCAACCGTAGGCAGCCACTACTCTATTTTCTCTCGGTAGATTTCCCTGTTCCCGATATTTCATATGAATAGAATCATCTAATATGTGGTCTTCTGTAACTGGCTTCTTTCACTTGACATAATGCTTCCAAGTTTATCCATGCTGTAGCATGTATCCATACTTCATTTTTTTTATAGCTGAGCAATACTGCGTTGTATGGATATACCATGTTTGTTTATCCATTTGCCAATTGATAGACAATTGGGCTGTTTCCATCTTTCGGCTGTTGTGAATAATGCTGCTATGAACATTTGTGCACAAGTTTCTGTGTGGACATATGCTTTCATTTCTTTGGGGTATATATATCCTAGGAATGGGGTATATATATCCTAGGAATGGAATTGTTGGGTCATAGGGCTAGAAATGTAAATTCCTGCTTTAAAGAGCTTGGGCACAATTAAGGGTCTTAATATTTATCTCCAAATTGCTTTTCCAAGGGCGTTGAGTTAACTTTTAATTCTGTGATTGAAGATCTGTTACTTAGTCAGTTTGCTCTCAAGGAGCAATGATATCCTGAAGTAAAAGCCTAAGACAGTGTTGTCCAATAGAAATATAAACCAAGTCATATATGTAATTTTAAATTTTCCAGTAGTCACATTTTTAAAAAGTAACAAAAACAGGTGAAATTAATTTTAATAATAAATTTTACTGAACTCATTATATCCAAAATATTATTTTATTTTGCCTTTTCAACCTGTAATCAATCTAAAATTATTACTGAGATATTTTATCTTCTTTTGAATTGGCATTGTTTCCAAAATCTGGTATTTATTTTAGACTTTAGCACATCCTCATTTGAACAAGTCATATTTTAAGTGCTCAATAGCCACATGTGGCTAGTGGTTAGGATAGTGGCTCCAATAGTAGCCAGGAGTTTGGCTGACTACGTCTTTGGGAGGCAGCAGGAAGTTACTTTTTAAAATATATCCTCAGATTTATTTTCCCTTATCTTTCTCTTTGTAATAATAATAAATAAAAAAAGCAGGAGCAAATTTTAGCTAACTAAAAATTTCTCCTAGGTAGTGAATGGTTGATTAACTACTTACTGGTTTCACACACTACATATTTCTACCTGATAAGTGACAATGTATAATGTGTGAAAAAAAGACAGTTTTAAAACGTCCACTCTTTTATTTCAGATAACTTGGACAGAGCCTGGAGCTGCTTTGGTTTCTGGGATCTACATGATTATGCTGAATGCTAAAAACCAAGGCTAACATTATCCCAAGTTGATAACTAATTTCCTTTATTGGGTTTTTAGTGATAAAATAAACAGGAAAGAACAAAAGCAAGAAATAGATTTCACTGTGCTATCTGGTGAAAACCATGTTTTCCAATTTATTCTTCTCACAATATAAAATATGTAATCTGAGATCCTATATATTCCCAGGACACAACGATCCTTCTCTGTTGTATGGCAACTGCCTGCCATGCATAATTATTTTCCAAAAGCATATCAGGTCACAGATGAAGCAGAGAATGAGGGAAAGAGTCCATAGTGACCTTAGGCAGGTTTTTTTACTAGTAGGAATCAGTTGGATAGTTATTACCACCTGGCGCTGCTAATGAGTCTAGTTGGGAAAACAAAGCTGCTAAGCATTCCGCAGCAGATTGCACTGTGGCCCAGGTCTGGGGAGTCTTTTTGGGGTCTGTTGAGCATCTAGAGATACATTTTAAGGTATTTTGTCTATTTTGAACTCCTGGTTTTTCAATTTTAAAAGGAACATGTTGTTTAGAAGCATTATTTAGTTGTTGATTCTTTTGTGCTCTGTAACCTAAATATTTTACTGAGTTCGTAGAATAATTTTTAAAACATAAACATATGTTATGCATTGAAAGCAAGTTATTCATAATATTCTTGGAGGCTGGTGACCATCTCTTCCAAGAAAGTATTTCCACTACTAATTCAAATCGCCTCTAAGCAACCTTAATAAAGAGACAATATAGTGAGGTCATTCAGAGCAAGAAATCATGTCAGAGAGACCTCCACCTTTTACCAGTCCTGTCACCAGAAGCAAGTTGCTTTTCTTTGCATGAGATCCCTCTCCTGAGTATAGGAACAATGAGAGCTATCTTAAGCACCGAGCGAGATGCTGCGAATGTGGTACTTAGCTGAATACCCTTCGCTGCGGCCTTTGTTGTGGTTTCATTTCTGTCTTGGTTCTGGTATCATTCTCACGCACATCTCATGTATCCCAAACGATCACAGCCTAAGACTAGCAAATAGAAAGCCCGAGCAGCAGTAAATAATCCAGCATCAATGACCATGTGACCCAGCCGCTGAGCTGTAAGAGGCAAGCCTGGCTGTCCCACAAGCTGTGAGAACCAGGGAGGAGAGGCCTGGAGTGGTGGAAGGGGGAGCGGCAGGAAACATTAAGGAGCATGCTCACTAAGAAGATTCTTCACTAATACCCCCACCTACTGTAATTAATTCAATACGTGCTTATCGAGCACTGTCTATATGCAAAACACTGTGCTTGGTAGGGGGCCTACAAAGATTGGATATGCCTCCCGCGGCCAATAATCGTGAAGCCCAGGCGAGAAGGTTGCCCTTACTGTTGACTGCGCCGCCTTGCCTGTGGCCCTTGCCTGCCCGCCGGCCCGGCCGCTTGGCTGCGAGCAGAAACGCTCTCGCTCCCACGGGCGCCTCCGCACGAAGCACAGCCGCCGGCTCAGGAGGCGCTGGGTGAATGCTGCTGCCGGGAATGCCTTCGCGTGAAGACGGGGATCAATCGCTTTCGGGTTTCCAGCTGCAACAGATAAGCCCCTTGAAGGCAAAGACCCATGCTTGCAAATTTCTCGAGGCCAAGAAAGGTGGATTCTTGATATTAGCTTAGCACAGCGATTTCCAACCCTTTTCACCTCATGGCACACATAAACTAATTGCTAAAGTTCTGTGGCACATCAAAAATTATATTTTGATTCATTCACACGGGATGACTATTGTTGTGTTGGCTGTTGTCATTTTCTTTATTTGACAATGTAAGGGAAAGGCAGTCAGTGCCCCTGACTTAATAATAGTCAGGTATTGCATGTTTTAAAAATTCTTGGGGCACGCCGGTGTGCCTCGGCACACTGGTTGAAAATCGCTGGTTTAGCAGTTATGCTAATATTAAAATTGCATTATTAAGATGAGAGTTGCCCTGTAATATCAAAGTGCAGTTATTATCCATTTTCAGTAGGGTCCTTCAGTCACAGGTGCATAAAATACACAACTGATTGCACTGCTATATCTAACTAAGGGAAATAAAACAAATAAAATGTGCTCTCTGATAAATATGTTCTTTTTCTTGAAGTTTGGAAAACATTTTACTTTTCAATGCAATACTATAAATAAGCTTTTCATTGAATCATAAATGCTGGGACTTCATCATTTATTTTCCATTCGGATTACTTTAGACGATTCTCCTAAAAAGAAATAATAAAATTTAGATGTTGCAATATGTTTAAATGAGGAAAAACTGATTACAGAATATGTATGTGTTTTCCGATTCTCGTGTGGAGGTAATGTCATCAATGAGAGCAATTCATAATACTGTTGCAGTGTATTTGATAAAATTATGTTTTGCAGAGTGCGTCCTTCCTGATGCCCTGTGAAGTAAATTGTGCATCGTGATATTATTACCGGACTTTGTTAGGCTGTGGAAGTTTGCAGCTGATTCTTTGATGGAGTGAGTGGAGACAGGCTATAGATATTCCTAGTCTGTTGAAGCTCATTATAATTGGTAGTCTGGAATCAGAGACTTATCTACAGCCTAATCCAAACAGGATAACTTTCCATTAATCTGTGATGGGTTTTTATTTCTTTATTAAGAGCTAAATGTGTAAACACAAAAGAATTAACAGCCACCTTGGCGCTATGTAACTCTCAGGGCTCCCTCTGCTGGTGGCAAAAAACAACAAATTTATGGAGAGCTTCAGAGTGAGGTTAATATTATTACCACACATTTGCCATTTATATTAAAGCTAAATTTATTGTCGGACACTTATGCAAGAAAACCAAATGTTTTGGTTTATGGCAAGCCAGCTTTTCCACTAAAGATTAAGTGATATTTTTGTGGTTGAATTAATTAGTCTTTTCATCACAGAAAATTGAACTATTTTGTATTTAAAATAAATATTTGCCAGAGTTATACAGAGTAATTTACAACATCACTTATACAAATGATTACCAACAGCTTACATAAATGGAAACAGAACACTTAATAGAGACATAGTGAAGATTTAGTAGCTACCCAAACTACTTCACCCTCCCCTATATAATTCCTATATAACATAAATACACACCACACATACCATCCAATAAAACCATTACTTTCTGGGCCATTGCAGTGCTGATGACTACGCCAAATGTACTGCCCATTCAGGGCCAGGGAGATTCACTCTAGATCCGGACAACCCAAGGAAGACCATGGAGCCAAGGAGAATGAGACATTTTTTTATTTGGCTAAGGCAGGCCAAAAGTACAGGACGGACAAACCCACACTCTCCAGGTGGTGACCAGTGGGGATACATGGGGGACACACTCCACCCCGGGGACAAACCACACCCTGGGGCACAATATGTAAACCCGCAAACCCTCAAACTGAAACTTTGAAAGTCCTGGGCCATTCTTATAGGCCCCAAGACAATGGTGGCTCTCAGCCAACAGTGGGTCAGACATTAGTCAGCTAACAGGGCATCTGTTATGACTATGCCCATAAACATCATCTGTTATGATGCTTATGACTATGTAAACATCATGTTTACATAACTTCAGCCTTCTGCCATGAGAAGGTGGCAAGAAAGCCTAAGTGTTTTCACTTTCCCTATAGCCATATCTCAACATAATACATAAAAGTACATCAAAATTGAAAAAATATATTCAACTTGCAATCCTCTGAGTACTCGTGTATATAGTGCTCTTTTAACTTTGAAAAGTACTTTCACATTTATCACCACATTTTATCCTAACAACCCTTGAGATACAGCGGATACTGTTACCCTCCACTTAGTGGGCATAGTAACTGAGGTCAGGGGTTAAACAATTGGTCCAAAATTACACACTAGTTACTGAAGAGGAGCCTTGGGCTCTTCCAATATTGCCTGAAGGACTCTCTCTGTCAAAAACTATTTATTATTAACCAAGTTGTCTTGAATTGCCTGTCCATATTTATGCTTCACAATGCCCTATTGAGAACACCTCTTAATGAACCCAAATCTTCTGAGAGCTATAGACAATTTTCATCTAAGGGTTCTATCAATGAATTTAAAGAGAAAAAAGAACAGAACTGGTGAGGTGAGCATTATCCGCTATGTTGGTACATAAAGGGTGGGTTGTGTTCTCATAGCCCTGAGTTCCAAGGAAGTGCTGAGTCATGCCATTGTATCGAACCATAGGTTCTAACTGAATCTACCTCAAGATAAAAACAAATGAATACTCCAGTTCCCAGGAGTCACCCAGGCCTATAAACAGAGTTTTTAAACCAAATCACGAACTTAGCTTTTCTTCCATGCATAAGTGAACAACCTTTTAGCAAAATTTAATGATAGAGTTGAGACCAAAGATTCTGGTCTAACTGGCAATCCTCAGTTAGAGGATATAGGTTTGATAATTTCAGTTCAGTGCATATCATGAAAGCACTCTGGCACAATTGATAGGATGTTCATGAGGAGGTAATATACAGATCCGCAGATTAAATTACTTTTCACCCCAAGAGATATTTATAGGGGTGATCTATCAAGGTTACAGGGAAGAGCAGTGACATGACAGTAAGAATGCTCAACCTAAGCTTGTATGCTGGAATATAAAGACACCTGCAGTTTGATCCTTGTTAACTATTACAAATTGACAACTTTTCACTAAAAAAATGTTTTGGTAAAGAAATCAGTTCTAAAGATTTATACTTGTTTTTCAAGTTGAATAAAAATGCAAAAATGTACCAATCTATTTTACTATAGAAAAGATACTACCTCCATCTTAAGATATATAAAATCGTTTCCTTAGGGAAAAAAGCTAATTTATTTTATTATAGAACAGATGCTACTTATATCTTAAAATAAGAAATAAAGACCAGGAATATGAAATTACTGTTCTCACAGCCACAAAATCCATTCAATTGTAAAAAATGATTTTTTTTCTGGATAGAAATTTTAGCAAACATTTTGCCTCTAAAAAGCCTACCATGAGA